CAATAGGGCCAAAAGGTTACCCCCAAAGTGCTTTACAACAACAGTTCTTTTGAAGACCAGGAAAAAGTCCCTGATACACGCACAAGCACACACACACACACACACACACAGACACACACACACACACACTCCTTACTCCCACTGACCCTCCACACCTGTCTTGTCACTCAGGCCCTGGGTGTGCCCTCCACCAGCACTCCTCTCCAGTCCCCACTGCCCCAAGAAGAGGCCTCATTTCCCAGGGAAGTGCCCTGTAGATCCAGGCCTCTGCACCCACACACACACAGAGCACCCTAGTCCCAACCCCCTTCAGACTGCACAAAGCCCCCATTGTGAGACACAATGCTGGCCGCCCCCTCTGCCTTTCCCCTGTACCCTCTGCTCTGTTTCCCCCATAACTCTGTCCCCTTTGCCCGCTCTTGCTTTTGCCTGACTCACTCGTTCTCTGCTTTTCAGTCTTCTTTGCCTTCTTTCCTCTCTACTCTCTCCTCTTTATTCTTAAATCTCCACTACCAATCCTGTTGATCGTGTCAGTAGGGGTCTGCCATCTTTTATCCTACCTCAGCCCTTTCCCCCACTATCCTCTTCAATACTTCAATATAAAGTCTTCAACATACCCTCCCTCTCTCCCCCGTTTCTCCCATCATGGCCCTCCCTCTCGCCTCTGTGTTCCAAGACATTTTCCACTTCTCTTATTGTTTTACCTCCTATATATACTGAAAACAAACTATAGAATGTAACTGTGTCTCCCTTTCTTATGTTACTTTAGAATATGTTTTAAACAAAATTCTGGTCATTTACAACCATTAAACACTACTTTTATTGTGGGTACATTTGTCTGCTCTGTGACACACCTTGGTAGCGGTCCCATAGTTTGTATGAAGGTGCTTGTCTTTTCTAAAAAAAATAAGGTTAAACAACTTGAAAAAACTCCCAACACTTGTATGAAGTACAAATAAGAAATGCTGCAACATGAACATGTTGGTGAGAGCTTACTTTTATTCTTTACATCTGAAACATACAGTGCACCTGAAACATGAATATAGACTTACCACCTGCATAACTTGTCATTTTTCATCCTTCTCACACCTCTAACAACCACATACCTGAAATATATAGTACTCAGCATGTCCAAAGATTCTGCTATCCACACCCTTCTGTGAAAAATAAAACACCTGAGACAGGCAGTGGTTTTGCTTTCTCTTTGTTCAGCATATTGGGCCTACAGTGCCATCTGTGTTGCTCCAAATATCAGGAGGTGCATGACTTTGCAAGTGATTCCACCCCATCAGATTTGTTTCAAAGTGAAAGAAGCAAGCCAAGCAAGTTTGACCATGGGGTGGAGTTGTAAGACTGGCACTAATCTAAAGAAATCCCACTGTGGTGTGGGTTTTTCCAATATATCTTTGCCAAGCTGCAAACCAAATTCTGTCAATTAAAAGTTGCCTTGCCCACATATGCAAATTTGTTTAACATATTTTCTATATTTTCTTTGTCTAATGCTATACAGTACCTGTGGTATATGCAGAGCTATCTGTGGCATTCACTTCAGAAAATAATGACCAGCCCTGTTAAGGCCCTGTGGTTTCTTGAGTAAGCTGAGCTGCAGTAACCCTACTGTATAATGCAGTCGCCACCTGGGTGTAAGTCTGCATGATATGTCTTCCTGAGAAAAGCAACAAGAGCCTGAAACTGGCAACTAACTGAAAAAAATGAATGTAAACTGCTAAAACGCACAAACACAAATGCATACACAGAGACACAGGGAATCTGGGAAGGTGCCAAAGCCTTGTGGTCTGACTGGTTGAGGGGTGAAATAAGAGAAAATGGGGACACAACGTTGCCAGTTAAACAGAGGCCTAACCATGGCAACCCTGGCTTTACCCTGATGTGGATGAGTGATGAGAAGGTGGACATTCCACAAACTTGTTCTTCTGTGTTTCCTGATCAAAGGAGAAAAAAGGAAGGAACAAAGCAAACTGTGCTACCACAAAGCTTCCAGCAGAGCTGGGGTTTGTATTTTTCATGTTAAGTGAAAGGCGACCAAAATGCCTTCAAGGATGTGGGGAATTTTCCTCTTCAGTGTCTTCCAAGCCAGAACATTCTAGTTGAAAGAAAGAAAGAAAAAAAAGAAAGGAGAAGACTGAACAAACCAGTGAGTAAAGCAGAGAAAAGGGTAGAAATGAGAGAGGCCAGCTGCTCTAGTCACTGAGAGAAGAAAGAGAGCAAATAAAAAACCAAAGGAGATCCTAAATAGTTTGCAATGGCCTTGGAGCATTAAAAAACACAGCTCTTCTCACCCTGAACAGGAAATTAGCCCCACAAAACAGACTGAAGGAGAATCACTCAATAACACACACAAAGGTCCCTCATTGCTGCCAGCTCAAATACTGTCACTCACCAGGTGACACCTCTATTTGAGATCCCAGGGGAAGGTTATTTTGGTCGCACACACAGATACACACACAGGTATCCATGGCGACAGTGGGCAAGGGTCTGCATGGACGACTGTGACAACCTGACGATGACTCAGCTCGTAGAATTTAGCACAGCATGGTATGGAAAGCTGGGACAGCCATGACCTCATTCCACTGGCTGCTTTGCCACCGCCCCCCCGCTGCCGCCGTCGCCACCCTCCACCCCATTTTTTGAGAGACAGCAGTCTGAAAGAATGAACACCGCCGACAGCGAGAAGGGGGTCGGAGAAAAGAATGGTGGAACAAGAGAGGTGTCCCATATCCAGACAAACATCTCGCATGGTGATAATAGCACGGGTGAAGTGTGTGTGTGTGTGTGATTCTTTGTGTGTTTGTAGTTCGGAGCTATATTTAGTGTGTGGAATGTGCAACAAAAGGGATACAACCAGGAGGAAATTAATGTTTCAGGAGAAATTGGGAGGAATGATGTGACCTAAGCAGGTTTTCCCAAAACTCTGGGGTTCTAATCTTCACATAAGACACACTGTCAGGTTCTGAACCAAACATTAATAATCAATGGTCCATGTTCTGGCTCTGTTCAGCTCAGGGCTCCAGTCAAAGTCTCAGCTGTGTGGAGATCCAGCCCGCTGAGACCAGAGCGAGCCCAGAACACAGCCTGAGGGCGTGTAATGACAGGGAGCCTCCAGCACATCAGTCAGACACACAAACCTTAAAGCTGCAGCTGCGTAGGGCCAACCAGACCAGTGACAATGTCACATCCAGGCTGACGTATGTTGGGATAAATAACAAATAAAAGGCAAGGGAAACATGGGCAAACATGCTATTTAAAGAATCAAATCCTTTAGATGTGAAACAACATTTAAGAGAAACAACAGGGAGAAAGTAATGCTGTGGTTTCATGGTTTGACAATGATGGCACACAGCAGAGAGGCTAAAGCTGTCTAAACACCGATAGACTGTGATAAAGGTTCTGCTTATCACAGCGGTTCTTCTACATCAGAGATTCAAAAACAATTAGTCAGACTGAAAGTGGGTCACAGTCCAGTTTCTTGTGGGTCTTCACTTTGTTAACATGCTCACAGGTTCAAATCTTGATAATGTACACACAATGAGGTGCAGACTAAGTTGCACAACTCCTTTCCTATATACGTTATTCCCTTAAACGCTTTGGACTATCTTTGACATGGACTTAAAATATGAACTGTAAATAAGCAAAAATTTTGAGTATGCAACAGCTGTAGTTCACGGCATGGACCAGCTTAGCAGTGTGTGTGCAGCATGAAGACAACTCTACAAGATCAGTGCAGCAGGTCCAGTTAATGAAAGAAAGACTGACAGGCTGAACCTGCTCTCTCTATTGCCTCCTCTTCTGTCTCACACCTCTCTGTCTGTGTTTGCCTCACTCTCTTTCTCTATAAATCTCATATAAAAGTCACAGAGCGTCAACTCTAGCAGACAAGCCATCCACACTATTAGGAGCTTAGAGGTCTCTAACCCTCCCCACTTACAACATGTTACTCTTATCTGAAAGACAGAGGCTGTACTTTTTAGTTTAGATGTCAAATAATTCTGAAATAAAATGAAATAAAGCTTTTAAGAGTGTTGTATTGCATCAGCATTGTGATTTCCTTTAAAAGCTTTGTTAGCAAAAACACAAAATAAGATGTTTGACTGCACAAATCTATCCTTCTTAAATAATGACATCACTACGAAGTGAACTTGAATTTGAACTTGTGTACTTGGAAAGAAAGTAACAGTGGTCCAAAAAAGAAACCAGTTCACGGTTTGGAGAAATAACAGGAGCCAGGATGTTACATAAGCATAGCATTACACTTGCCAGTAATATTGAAAACAAGCTTAGTATGAACAATGCAACTTAACACTTCAATCCTAAATCCTTAGTCCGGTGTTTACAGTGTTGACGATGGTGTTAAACTGCCTTTTATTGGCATGCAATTACCAATTAACCACATGACATTGGTGATACAGGTGGAAAACCTGCCAGAGAGTCTTCTACTTGACCCCCCCCTCACAAAATGACCTTCCAGACATAATCACTGATGTCACATCCTCTCTGACCTTGTGACCTTTCACACACTTCACACGCTTTCTTCACACACTAATCTCCTGGGTTATGCAGCAAAGCCACATACTACCTGCAAGTGAGCTAAACTCTGTGCCAAAAGAGCACATACTTGCATAAAAAACAACCCACCTCAGTTTCCAGCTCAACTGCACCTTACAATACCAGAATCCACAATAGATTAGATCAATTGCCAATAGAAGGTCAAAATATGTTTGTATCTCCCTGGAGATGATGACAACAGAATAATTAATCATTTTATGACTCCATTAAGTATCACTGTGAAACAGTCACTGTAGACGATCATCATGACACATTTTCATAAACCTGTCAGTGAAGAGCAATAATGACAGTAAGGAAAACAAGTGTCTGTCATACCTTGAAGCATGCAGCGGTATGCTGACTCAGAGATGGCATAGATGTGCGGAGGCATCTCGTGCCTCTTCTTTCCTCTGTACATCTCAATGATGTTCTCTGAATAGATGGGCAGGTTCTTGTAGGGGTTGATAACCACACAGAACAGGCCACTGTATGTCTGTAATTAAACACACAAAACACACAAACATGGGAAATGAATAAATAGTAAGGAACAAACAGAGTCTTTAAAAATGCCATGGGTTGAAATAGCCAAAATAAACTTGGAAGAATTGGAAGTGGATATAAAGAGAAAATATAACACATTGATGTCTTCAACATTAAAACGGAGCATGCAAGTTTATAACTTTTAAATCATCCAGCCTGCATTCTCTCAGTGCAACAGGACCTGTCATTACCCACTTCCTAGGTGCTTACATCATCCTAGCGGGCATACAACACAGTGATAGATACAGACCAGACCGACTAAAAGAAACACTGAACAGACTGCTGTCTCTCGTGAAGCAACAAAAGGCCTTGAGAGTCCAAATAACAATCTTAAAACCAAACACTACAAAATGTGAGCAAAGAGGGTATAAATATTCTAATGATGTTTCATGTTGCCGCAACTAGCTTGCGCTGCAAACGATTAGCCTACTTTCTGACTTGTGGTGTTGCATTTGGCTGTGTAATTAGCCCCAAGATCTCTCCCCAGAGAGTGTGTGTGGCATGGACACTTCTCAGCTATGCTGTAGGCTGAACCAACCAGGCAACAAGGCAGCCAGGAATGAGTGAGAGGCCCTGGTGGGGCAGTGGCTCTCTCCCATTCTGCAGATGTTATAGGGGGCTTTGCATTGCCCCTATAGACAACACAGAGAAAGAGCTGCTCACTAGTATGACTTTCAGCACTGGCATGTTAAGCTAATCCTAGAGGCCTACGCGAATGCCCACCTCTACTTACCTCACTAGCTACCTACATACAATACGTACTTTTTGAACATGAAACTGAAAACTACTGTGAAACTGACTACATGCAAATGTGTACAAATATATAGACCTCAGATCTTTAGGAGAAATGACAGGGAGTCATAACAAAGTTGAAGCTAGGTAGTGATAAAACTGGACGTTGTTAGCCTATTAGTAATAAATTGGCAATGGTCCAATAGATATGTCATCCAATCAATCACATGTGGATTTAACCAGCAACAGAAAGACACATATCACATCCAGACACATTGATGGATGTTACGAAGCAGTCGTGTCTATCTGGTTGGAGGCCACGGGGATCAGAGGCAGCTGGCTCCCTGCTGGCTTCAAGGTCAGAGTGACAGACATGTTTGTTTGTTTGGCCTACTTCTGAGACCATACGTACACTCTGCAGTGACATTTTGTTTACAAAAAAAAAATCAGGAGTACAGGAAAGGAAAAACTAGACGCGTGATCTGTAAAACATTTTGTGATGAAGTTAAAATTCTTTTCAGGAGTAGTCTCAGCATGGCCCTTGGAGTTCATAAAAAAGCACATGTTTTCTACAGACTGCTGTCTGTAATAAATGACTGAGCCTCTGTTTTAAAGAGCTTTAACTGTTTCAAGAGCTGTTTATTCAGTTATCCTCTGCTGTTACTCATGATGTCAATAACTGGCATCGCATCATAATACAATACAGCCAATAACCAAAGATGTAATGTTTAGAAAAATGTCCTACAGTGTTACAGTGATCAAAGCATAAAATATTGTGACATTTGCTTCATAATTAAAACTACATCCAAGGCTGAATGAGGCACCATGCCATGAATGAATCAGCAGCCATAGGTTCAGAAAGGGTCCCCAGGGAGCTGCACTGTGCAGACTGCAGCTGTTACATAACAGCTCAGTTAGGGCCCTCAGTCAGCACTGAGGAACTGATGCTCTGTACTGCTGATATCGAACAAAAAAAGGAGGAAGGGGTAGGAAAAAGAAGGTGGTGAAGGGGAGAGAGGCAGATAGAAATGAGGAGTGGGGCACTGGTACAGCTGACAGGACTCCCTCAGCTCCAGTCCAGTTGAGAAACAGAGGTATAACAAACAGAGAAGTCTCAGCCTTCCTGTAAATTGCTCCCAACCTGAGGGGAGGAGAGAGCTCAGCGAGAGAGAGAGAGAGAGAG